AATAGGTATATTATTCCGAGTTATTTTAAACTGTTATTCTACAGGGTGTCCTAAAAATGGCGCACTAACGGTATGCCACGTTGTGGGGAGGTTATTTTAGGTATAAAATACAAAACAATTTTACTACGAGTGGTTTTTGAGTTATAAGGGTTTAAAAATTTATTTTTATTTTTGTTACTTTATTGACTATTTATTTATTTAAAAGGATACAAAATAATGTTCTATGCACAATCCACACAGCAAGGTCTGTTCTATCTCGTACTAAAAATTCCAAAAATCAGTGCAACACTAAGTTTAAAGGGGACAATTTTTGTTGTTTACAATTCTTGTGCTTTGAGTTTGTGCTCTGTTTATACAGATTAATAATCGTTTTAAACGTTTTGTTTCTTACAGGGGCCTTTGTAAGCCTTAAAAGAGTCCTTAAAGAGCCAAGGGCAACCATTTTACTCCTCTTGTAAAAAATAAACCTTATTCTATCAGGGCTGTCATTAAACTGTCAAATGTAAATTTTAAGGTTAATTTACCATAACCCACAAATTAACTTTAAAATTGAAATTCGACAGTTTGATGACACTCCTGACAGGATAAGGTTAATTTTTCACAAAAGAGGAGTAAAATGGTTGCACCCAAGAATTGTAAATAACAAAAATGGGCGCCGTTAAACTCTGGGCTGTGTTGCAGTGATTTTTAGTATTTTTAGTGAGAATGCATGCATGAATTTATTTTAATATCGGTGCGATATGCGTTGGTCGACATTTCAGCGACATCGACCAACGCATGTCGCACCGATATTAAAATAAGTGTAGGTAGCCGATATATAAATGCGCGCATTCACATATCGGCCACCTGCACTTATTTTAATATCGGTGCGACATGCGTTGGTCTACATTTCAGCGACATCGGCCACCCCCGTACATTTACTCATCGGTTCGAGATGTGTTGGCGACACGCAAGCGACATCGGCCACTCGCGCTTGGGCGAACATACGTCCGACGTCTGCTGGCCGACATCCTATGGCCGAGTCTATTTCGACGTCGGATTAATGTCGACATACGTTGGCTGACTTTATTTTTCACTAGGGTTGTGGTTAGGGCAACCCTAATATATGAATATATGAAAAATAAAGTCGGCCACCGTATGTCGACATTGATCCGACGTCGGAATAGAATCGGCCATAGGATGTCGGCCAGCAGACGTCGGACGTACGTTCGCACAAGCTCGAGTGGCCGATGTCGCTAGCGTGTCGCCAACTCATCTCGTACCGATGTATAAATGTACGGGGGTGGCCGATGTCGCTGATATGTCGACCAACGCATGTCGCACCGATATTAAAATAAGTGCAGGTAGCCGATATGTGAATGCGGGCATTCTCGAGGTTATATATTATTTTTCTGTGCATCCATGCAACCATGGTTATAATTATAACAGTTTAAAATAAATGCCAAAACATGTTCTTCCAAAGTTTTTATCATGGAAAAAAAAGGACTTAAGAGTTGTTTCAAAATAGAGCTAGAAATTTAAAAGAAAAAAAGAAATAAATTTAAGAAAAGAGAAGTTCAACCAGGCTCTGCGAAATTTAATAGTCTGAAGAAATAGTAAGTGGTAATTACTTGGACTTACGATGACCATATACTAAGCTCCTCACATTAAAGTAACACTTTGATCCTTGTAAAACTTTATTTAAGGCATTTTTGATTTGTGTATATTGTCAATATTCACTTTTCATTTAAATTTTAAGTAAAATATTTAAAAAAATATAAATTGTTTTATTGACTATATATAGTACTATAGTACATTGGCGACTTCGTTCCGATAAACATATTCCGAGATCATTGCGACATAAGATGGCCGAAGTGGACCCGACAGAAAATGTCCGAGCTCGTTCCGACAGAAAATTGCCGAGCTCATTTCGACATATTGTGACCGGGGTCGGAACGACATCGGCCAGCGTTACGATTATGGCATCGGTCCTATGTCGAATTGGAGTCTGAGGCCGATCTCGGCCAATGCCGTGACCGACGTCGATCCGAGCTCCTTCCGACTTTATTTTTCACTCGGGATAGGGTTGCCAGATTCTGTCAAAAAAATAAAGTACATTTTGCGAGAATTTACTTTTTATACTCCTATTACGGAATATGACCGTTCTAATATTAATTTTTAATGTGGAATTCCTTAAAGTATTACAGAATGAATTATTCTATCATCGGATGACGGAATAAACACTGGTGGCAACATCTCTGGATGGTTAATATCCAACAAATATTAGACCAATCCAACCTCACTTTCTCCCAATTAAATTATTTTTCTATGGTATTTTTTGTTTTATTGTTATTTTAAGTTTATATTGCGTTTTATATTTATTCAAAAACTGATAATTAGGCCTTGTATTTTGTAAAAATACGATTTTTTCGCTAAAAAATACATCTCCACTTTAAAAGAAATCCGGCTAAAATTTTACACCCTTTAAAACGACCCTAAACTAAATTTTATTGATTATTTTTTTTGACAGTTCTCTGTATTGTTGGGACATTGTTGAGGCATTGTTGTTAAGGGAACCTACAGCGAATTACAGCGATAATTTTTTGAAAATTTTCTCTGGTAGTTGCTATATATAAAAAACAAATTAAATCTTAATTAAATGTTGTTTTATTCATTATGAAATTCCTATTTGTTAACTGTACATGGTGCAATTCTATTGGCCGACATTTGGGACGGAAAAATAATCCCCCGAATACCACACGAGCTTCAAAATTATCTGGCATTTCCCTCAAGGTTCCCTGCAAACAAATAAAGTCGTCAAGTTTTTCAGGAAAAATCACTCGCGCTTCGCGCTCGTGATTTTTTAACCTGAAAAACTTGACTCCTTCATTTGTTTGCAACGAACCTATCGGGAAAAATACCCGATAATTTTGAAGCTCTTGTGGTATTATAAGTGAAAAATTTTAAGTAGGAACGATTTTGTAGCCAAATTAAAAATAAACAATAATATCTATGTACAAAGTTATCCATGAAAAAAACATTGAAATAAAATTAAACTAAAACTTAACTTATGCTTAATGTTGACAAATAAAAAACGCAATAGAAAGTTAAAACAACAATGAAACAAAAAATAGAGAATTTAAACAATTCTTTACAATTAGATTTTTGTCCCCTCTACTATACAAGAACTACGGGATAGGGTAAAACAAGCCTGCGCAACCATTACTCCGGAACAAATATGAAAGTGTATTGAAATAAGTAGTGAGTTGACAAAAATCTTATAGAGAATTTTTGGAATTCTCTACTTTTGGGAAAATGGATAACTTTACATAATAAAATCATTTAAGTATATATATATTCAATAAAATTTAGTATAGGGTGGTTTCGAAGGGTGGTGAATCCAGTGCCGTTTATAGATTTTTTTTAAATCATGAAATCAGAAACAATAGGTTTTCTACTTTACGCCGGTATTACTTTCTTAAAATGAGTCAAAAATAACTAATTATAAGTCATATTTGACTAATCATAGCGAAAAAGCAGTCACTAATAATTATAATTAGTCAAATTCCACTGAATGAAATAGTTAAATTAGTAAATTTAAATTTAAAAAAAGTTTTGACCCAGCCTGGGATTGAACTCAGGTCTGTCACTTGACAAGTTTGTCAAGCTAACCTCATAACGCATTCGGCTGTCATCCGCTCTTATAAAAATCAATTTTATTTGCCAATAAATATTGTTCATAATATTTTAAAGTTGAATATATTATTTGTGTTGCTGTTTTGAGCTAAACTTTTTGCTTCTTTATTTGTTTTATGGGTCATTTAACCATGAAGAGGTTTATGCATTTAATTCAAATAATACTTTGTTGTTGGCCGTAAACGATTAAAGAAATTAGTTACCTACTTTTAACTGTCAGAAATAGTCAAATATGGTGACTAATCTTCAATTAGTCAAACTTTAACTATTTACGTAGTAAAAAATAACTATTTAAAAGTGAAAACGACTATTTTATTAGTAAAAAATGCTGGTACTAATTCAAATAGTAGAATTTTGACTATTTCATTTTTAGAGAGTAGGCAACCAATATTCGAGCCGGGCTCGAATGGCGTCTTCCGAATGGTATGGTTCAATGACTAATGCACCATACCCACCAACACTGACAGACGCCTGTTTCGACCTGTTGGGTCTCATTATTGTCAGGCAGTCGGTGACGGGAGACACGCATCAAGCTCGGCACTGTTCACTTATAAAGAAATAAGTGACCAGGACAGCGGCGAGATGTATCGGCAAGTCAGTCTGGAGACATCTACCGTCTAAAGACGTGGCCTCGTCGCACAGACGTGGCCTTATTTCTTTATAAGTGAACAGTGCCAGAAATATTGTTTTTTTACATTTTGAACTTCTACAGGTACCTAAATTCTCCTACTTAGTATAAAATAAAAAAACAATACCTGGAATAATTTTGTTGTATTAATCATTTGAGTAGAAATTTTTCAAATGAGATTACGATTTTTGACGTTGAAAGGAAAATTAAAACAAAGTATTGAGAACCAATCAATTCATTAACATCAAGTCACATCATAAAAATGTTTAAGAAAAATTCGTTTGTTTATTAACAGTGTGCGATTAAACATTTCTGCACCGTTTCATTGAAATACATATGGTTTATTTAATAAATATATACCTATTTGTTTTGTTTGCAGAATACAAAATATTCCTATAAATTATGCCTAAAACTATAACAAAATATCCAATTAACCTTGTTACTTTAGTTGCTAAAAATTCTTGCAATAAGCGCTACATAAATATATAAATATTATATAAAATATCAAGCTCATTATGCAATCCTAATACGAGATAACGTCACATTTAAAGTAGGCTTTAAAGACCACTAAATAAATTATTAAATAAGACATTTTGCAATTTGAAAAAATGTCAAACTCGAGATAAAACGGAATAAAACTCGAAACAGGATTAAACTGGTATACAGCGTATAACATTTCAGATACACTAGCCAATAATATAAAGCAGGATGACCGGCCGATTCAAGAGTTCGCAGTTTTGTTTAGTGTAGTATTGCTTAGCAGTGTTGTGTTTTCGTAGTCCTGATAAGTGATAGTGGTGTATAATTATCAGATTTTATTGCCGATGTATAAAATTAAACATTCATTTTGTGCAGTTGTTTAGTTGTTCGCGGTACTAGCACCAGTTCACCTTCCTTTAGTAGAGAGACTGCGAAACTGGCCTACAAAAATGCATCACCACAACATTGATATGGCTTCTATTAACGAACCAAAGAATTCAAACGAAAGCAAATGTGTGGGATGTTTAAAAGCTAACAAACTTACTATTGCCACTGTGGCAGGTGTAGTGCTCGGTGCTTTACTCGGTATTATCCTTAGACAAACCAAATTAGAATGGTCCGGCAGGGAAGTCATGTATATAGGGTACCTTGGTGATTTATTTCTGCAGATGCTTAAATCTTTAATTCTTCCCTTAATAATTTCTTCACTGGTTTCCGCTATTGCAAGTTTAGACCTATCTCTCTCAGGTCGAATTGCAGGAAGAGCAATAGCATACTATCTTACTACAACTTTTGCTGCTGTAGTTTTGGGTATTATACTTGTTGTTTCCATAAAACCCGGAGTGGGTTATACGGGTCAAACCGAGGTTCAAGATGAACAGGATAAAAGGCATGTGCTTACTGTGGACACGTTATTGGACCTTGTTAAGTAAGTATAAAAAATAGATACTCTATATTTACTGAAAAAAAAAACATTTAAAATGGGGAAAATTCCCCCCAAAAACTTCAGTTATTGACGGGTCAATTTTTACTATTATTTTACTGTACACTGAATACTATTTCAAGAAACATAATCTCTAGATATTTAGGAAAAAATTAATGCCCACAAAGAATTCCTGGAACAGCCCCTGTATATACATATATGTTTACAATATTTTTATTATTTTATCAATTAAAATATTAAATTAAAAAAATGTAATGATTTTTTTTTCGATTTTATATAAAGCATCTTTTTTTATCAAAAGAAATAAGTACACGGAGAAAAGAAAACAATAATCATTGATCAATGACACTAACATACATAAAACGCAATAGCTCACAAAAAAACTTTCATTCTCGAAAACTTTTATTAAAATATAGACGTAAAATTCTTTTTTAGTCGATTTTTAGTACTCAAAAGCGGCCGAAAAAGTGCTTTCGTGCTTTCATTATTGTTCGTTTTATGGTGGCGCCATCTATTGATGATTATGAAAAGCTTTTAATAAGCTTCCAATATTTTTTCCACAAGGAAAGGGAATTTCGCAAGTTTGTATTTCTAGAAACATATTTTTTACACGCCTGCTGAAAGGTAGCGTGCGGAAAAGTGCAACTTCCCGCACGGTTATGCGTGCGGAAAGTAGCATCTTTCCGCACGCTTGTAGAAAAAAAAGGAATCCGTTTCAATCGTTAAATATTAAAATATGCGTAGCAAATTGTAGATGACAAACATGTTAAATAATATTTTCTCTTCATATTTGTTTGTTTGATACTTGATTTTGCGAAAATATACTTAAAATATAAACAACTTTGCTTAATCAAATGACATTATTCGACATAAATAGATACAAATGTTACTTGAACTTTTAATTTCAGGGACTGAACATAACTATACTATACTATGTATATATATAGAAATCATAATTTAGATTAAACCACTGTATATTGAAAATAATTTGATTTAAATAAGAACACTTTATTTATATAATGAAATTTTTTAGAAAATATTAATAAATATAATTAATAACACAGCCCATGGATTTTGATCATTTACCCACTGGGCCCCTTGTATGTGATGAAGTATCAAAGAGTGTCAGGTTTATACTTTGCATCTGATTCTTCTCCGGTCAATATGCCAGATCGTGTCATACAACTATATAAACAATGATTTATTTTCCGTTAAATGTGCTTTCATGGACCCCAGACACCAAAAGATTCTACATTTATTAATGTTAATTTCTTTCTACAAGAATGTCTCAAACTCTCTGGTTTTAAAACACTAAGTCTTGCAATGATTAAAAATAATAATAAATGAAATATGAAAACAGTAGTAGTATATTATTATTAAAGAGTGTAGGTAATACTATACTTTTTCTACTTTCATTAAATAATTTTTATTAAAAGAAATAAAGTAGAAATCATTTAATTATGAGAATGTGAGGTTACAGAAGTTGGTTTGCAAGTACCGATTGGTCCAAATAACAGTGAATATTAATTAATACTCCTTTTCTCAGGCTATAATTTTATTATATACGGGAAAACCCCAAATATTGTGAGTAAAAAAAATTAATAATTAGAATTAATAAAGTTTAAAAATTAAAAATTAATATTTACGATTAACCTCGTTAGGTAATTGATTCACTTGTAATTATTTCGTCTCCGCTTTTGTTTAATTTTGTTCGTGTTCCTCACCAGCATCGGTAGACAGCTGTTTCGATCTATTGGATCTCATCAGTACCGAGTTGCTGTTTGGTGTGGAACACGAACAAAATTTTAATTGCCTTCCCTTTTATAGGAAATGCAATCATTCAAAGCGGTGAGTAATTTGGCGCCAAATTACTTTCGTCTCACCGCTTTGAATGATTGCATTTCCTATAAAAGGGAAGGCAATTAAAATTTTGTTCGTGTTCCACACCAAACAGCAACTCGGTACTGATGAGATCCAATAGATCGAAACAGCTGTCTACCGATGCTGGTGAGGAACACGAACAAAATTAAACAAAAGCGGAGACGAAATAATTACAAGTGAATAAAGTTTAAGTTTTTTGTGACATTTTAAAATACTTTAAAAAAATGTTTTAGGGGGTCTCACGGATATAAAAATTTAGTTGGCAATGAATATGTTAAAAAAATATTGGCAATTGAGTATACTCACGATTCGTTTCATTATACCAGTTTTATGTATACTAGGGTGGTTCTTATTTGACCGATAACGAAATTTTAATTGTGCCGCCCCCTCATTTGTTTTTAAAAAAATTTTAAAAAATGTATGCCAAATTTGAATGTCCTAACTTATTTCCTTCTATTGCCTGTAACAACGAGAAGTTTTCCAGATAAAGGATTTTTGCCTTTAATGTATTAATTTTTTAAAATTAATATTAATCTATGAAAAAGTATACTTTTTTGAGAAAATGTAGAGGATATAAGTTTCTTTAAAACAAAAAAAAAGAAATCATGTATTGGTATCCTAAGATCTTTTTTATTTCGCTCGATTATTACTTACAGTTTTTCATATAAGGGATTTTTGCTTTAAAACGCAAAAATTTTATAAAATCATTAATAATTAATTAACAATTTTTTGAGGAAATGAATGGAAAATATGGTACTTATAAACAAACAATAAAGAATTTATGTATGTCCATATTAAGATGTTTTTTACTTCATTCAATTATTATTATTATTGTTATTTTATTGAAAATGGCATAAAAAAAGAAAATATCAGTGATAATTTGCATTTAATGCATAATTAGTGTGTTTTGAAACGTAATTTTGTACTTTTCTAATGTTGGTGCTAGCTAAATATCTCCTAGGCAATCTTAAATTATTTGTTTTATAAAACAAATAATTTAAGATTGCCTAAAAGATATTTAGGAAGCACCAACATTAGAAAAGTACAAAATTACAATTATGTAAATAATGAAATTGATTTTTAGATTGTTTTCGAACAATTTATTTTATGTTTTAACACTGTTACACCATGTATATTTCTTTCGGTAGTTGAATAAAATGGTATGTGCGACTATTAGTCGAAAGAGGAGATTTTACTTGCGTGTTAGTGCCCTCGCCACGCTCGTGCGGCTCACTTCACGCTCGAGAAATATTTACAGATTCGGTATTTCATAATAATTATATTATTAACTGTTCATGTAGCCCCATGGCTCTGCAGAGAAATCACAATAACAACCGAACTATCAGTAATCAACGATAACAAAGTACTAAATAAGTTTAAAAGTTTGCTTGATATTACATAATACACTGTGCGCATACCTGCTTCTTTTTTGCTTATATGAATATTATCATTGTTTTTAGAGGTAAAAACAATGATGATATATAGAATAAGTCAGTGACATCCAGTGGCTCCCTGGTTTTGTCAAAAAAATTTCACAGAAGCTCTAATGCAAAAATGATAGAGGAACAACTTTATTGTTTTAAGGTGTACTATCATCCCCCCAAAGGATGACAATTTATTAGGTGACACCCTGTATAATTAATACAAATATAAATAAAATATTTAAAACAAATCTTTAAGAATACAAAATATTTTTTTTTAAATTTTTGATCAATTCGAACCCTCGACCACTCGACTTTTAGTCCGCAGCACTGACTACTACACCACCGAGGGCGACTTGAATTTAAATAATTTTAAGTTTAGGGGATTTTACTATATATTTAGTGAAAAAAAATATTTAGAACAAACCTTTAAGAATACAAAAGCAACACAATAACATCTAGTTTTACTTAAACAACTTTTTTTTGAAACGCTAAATTTGAATTGTGTGTGATTTTACTAAATTAAATAAATTTATTCAGATTTTTTAAAAAATATTTGGGGTGGCTAAATAATTTTTACAACGAAAATGGTCTGTTCACAGTTTAAGCATGTTATTAAAACAGGGATTTAAAAAAAAATAACATCATTTGACTATTTCACCCCCATTGAACATAAAAAATGGGTTTAAAGACCAAAATATATAAAATTTATCGCTGACTTTTGTTTTTTTAACGTAAGTGGGAAAAATTGCTAAAACATGGCGAAACTTGCAATTAATTTGATAATGCAATTACAAAATTTTTTGCTTGATTTGTCATGTTACATTTAAGTTAAAAAAGAACAAACAATATTGTGATTGTGAATAAAAATAAATTTGGTTTTATTAGTAATATATAATATATATATATATATATATATATATATATATATATATATGTATATATATTATAAATATTACTAAAATACACCATATTATTTTAATGTATATATATATATATATATATATATAATATATATATGTATATAATGTGGCTTAAAAGCAGGGGCGGATTAAAAGAAAAGGGCCAAGTGAGGAAAAGCTTTCTAGGAACCTAGGGTTGCCATTTTTTGTAAAAAAAAAGCATTACCGCTTGTGTAAATTTACCTTAATTGCAAAAATGATACAATCAACATTATTTAAGTAACGTCAAATTCAGATTAGCATTGTGTCAGTTTTTAAATTAAGGCAAATTCACAAAAAAATTCGTTTAGGGTGGGCAATTTTTGTGTGATTTTACCTATCTTCCAGAAAATTGGTTCCTGACAAAAAATTTGATAACATTTTAGTTTGTTATCCATGTATCCACGTATACGTGGCATAATAGCATTCAAACGCAAGTATAACCTATAGGTTATACTTGCGTTTGAATGCTTGGGTTGTCTGTCTGTATCTCTATAAAAAACTGTCAGATAAACTAACTGAAACTTAACCAGATATTGATAAAACCGCCGTTAGAAAAAGAAAAAACAAAACAAATTTTGAAATTGGTCTTGAATCAGTGGGGGCAATTGCACCCATTGCCCCCCCTGTATCCGCGCCTGGTTGTAGCGGTCGAACTTAAAACCATATCAAAAAGGTACTGTAAGGTATGTACTATACAGTAGGTCCCACTTTTATGTGTTGTTTTTAACGCTGAAGTGGA